ACTGTAGTCAAGTAGAGAGTCTTAATGAAAACAGCTACTTAAATTTCTTATTGACATGAAAGAAATTAGAATATACACACACACACACACACACGCACGCACGCACGTTCCTTTTGGTAGCAATCTGGTTTGACTGTAGTCAAGTAGAGAGTCTTAATGAAAACAGCTACCCTGTGCCTGACTGAAAAGTGAATAGAAGGCAGCAAGTACAAAGAAACAGTTCTCACTGAAATGAATTTTGAAAGTCAGAATGCTTTGTGAACTGAATACTGTTTACTCATACTGGCAAAAGCCATGGCTTATTTGGGGAAAAAGTTTGTTTTTTGACATAAGCTGCATAAACAGATTCAGATATTTACATTTTTTTCTAACAAAGAAGAGTGACTAAATAAATGAATAAATACAGTTTCATTAACTGATCAAATCTACAACATGAACCTCATAATGGGGGTCCTGGGTAGTTAGATCAGTCTGAAATAAATACTATTTTTAGAATAAGTAGAGAATAGGAAGAGAACCAGATGACTGTTTCTAGCCCTTCCTGAATCATCCATTCCTTTGGTTATTACTTACCATATGTGGATTATTACTTACCTTGGCAAAGTATTTTGAGATTCAAGTAAAATCTTACAATATTTATCACTATACAAACAATATTTCTATATAAATGCCTTTTACCTGATTTTTAAAATAAAAAATTTTAAGAGACTGCTATAATTTCCAGAGGGCCAACTAAAAAAATTATTACAGTAATGCTGTCTAACCTAAAAGGAAACTTGGGCATTATGGCCAAATGTGTGGAAAATCTGCCAGTCCTGTCCTCAAGGAAGTGTTTGCCATGGAGGCTTACATCCAAGTGAGGCAGTTCTGAAGCTAAACTCCCATTTATGGCTTCCATAAGATAAGACACAGATAAGACACGTAAGAAGGCTAACAAGTTCTCCTCTGAAAGCATGGAGATAAAACATTTTATCTTAATTCATAGTTACAATCTACAAATTTATTAGACTGATCAGAAGTAACAAGGTGATTGATTTTCTGATACCTAGCTTCTAAGAATTCACTAGCTTGTGACATTAACACAGTAGTATGCCAAACGGACTAGAGTTAAAAATGGAAGACGTCTAATAAATGAACAAATTCTGAAGTATTCTAGAGTTTCAAAACCACCTAAAAATCAGATTGGTATATGTGCTGTTTTCATGAGAACTCCACATTGCAGCACACTGCAATAAGCAAGTCCACCGATCTGAGAATAGGCACTAAAATTTTATATTCTCACTCTTTGCTTGCTAATAACAGCTTTTAGCAAGTAACCCAGGCTCAGTTTATAAATCTTGAACTTTCATTCCTTATGGTTTTGTAGTCACAAAATTGAATAGAAGATGTTACTGAGCATTTGGAGAAGCTAGATTCCAAACATGAAGTTAAATTCAGAGGATCTGAAATAGGAAACTGGAGCTACCACATCAAAATATAAAATACTAGTTTTTTAGTTGTCAATGGTTTCAAATGGTTTTGCTTGTTTGTTTCCGAAGTACACACACTTATGACTAGATGTAAACAAAGCACTAGCCACACATCTAAAATCTACCAAAGGGCACTGCTACTGCTGGCCTTCCTTCACAGCTTCAGGGAGATTCTAGAGGTCAGGAAAAAACACATTTTATTCAGTGTAGCAGAACTGTATAAATATCATGGTTACTGTTCACTTAGAGGAGGGTCTAGTTATGTTAAAGTACTTTCCTTCTTCTCATCCTACTTTCCTCCCTCAGTTTCTAAACATGGAAAAAGGAGAGGCAAAGTTTCAACCACAGACAGTTCAGCAGCAGTCTGCACCTGAAGTAGGAACCCTTTCCTTAGAATACCAAACAGGGAATCCTGCTGTGAGGAGCAAGAGGAGGGGCAGGAGCATGTGGGTGTTAGAAGGGGGAAGAAAAAGGCTCCTAGTTTTAGCAGAGAACTAACAGCAATGATTTTAATCAATCAGTATTAATACTAACCTACTTGATATATATGTTATTTTCAACTGAGACAAAAATAAAATGTATATGTAAATTATATACTACAGGTAAGACAATTGATCATGTATAGAGTAAGCAATCACAGTGCATGCTACATTACTTTTATTTAAAAATTATTTTTTCCCCAGACAATAAACAGAGGTCATATTTTCAAAGATACAGAAATAACCTCTATGAAAGTTAAAAAATCTGGACAGTTTAAAAGAGAAAAGTGTATTAAATAATCATTAGTATGAAAATACAGTCTTGAAGGTTAAGAGTGTTAGAATTTAAAACTTGCGCAAATCACATCAAGATATAATTCTTCTGTGAGGGTACAGACTGTATAAAAATCTGGATTTATTAATTACAACATTGATCAGTAAAACCCAATTAGAAACAATTATACCATAGCAAACAGAATGAATTACCTCGTCTTCGCCCATAACTCCTTGCTGCATGTAAACAAAGGACAAATTGTAAAATGTCAGAACTAAAAATAAGCCCACATATACAAGTATCTGTGATATGAAAAGCTGTGTGGGCATTTGGAAATTAATACCATTTTAAGATCTAGATAATATCACCATACTAATATTTGCATGACATTTTATCATTTGCAAAGCAATTATATACTTCTAGATATATTATACATATAAAACATGTCCTTACACATGTCATCTGAACCATATAAAACTGAATTAGAAAGAAATACAGTTAATCTTTATTCATATTTAAAATGTGTTTTATCAGATCATGAGAGCAATGTAAGAGCCATTTAAATAGTACCCTAAATAATTTTTACAAATAAATGAAAATTTATTGAAATGTATTTCTTTACTTACTATAACAAGTGGTCTGACAAACAGCTATTCAGATCAATCTATTCTACACCGAGTCATTCAGGAAAGCAGTGCTGAAGATACAGACCAAGAAGATGCACCCCCCTTCCAATCTGATACTATAAAGCCCATATAGCTCAGAAAGAATGTAAAAAAAAATCTGTGTTCGAACATGCTTAAAGACATGGTTGATGATACAGTACAACTACTAATGGTTTTTACTCTTTTGTTTGATGTATTTTTTAAGCGCCAACTAAGTATTTATGTGTCTACCTCTAAGGTAGAGGGATTCAGATATAAATTACTACTAATACCATAAAGAGTTAAGAGTAGATAGACTAAACTATGCTACTAGCAGTTTACATCATTCTTTTGAATGTTTCTTTATAAAAAAACTGTATAAATTTGATGAAACACATCTCCTTCCTCCAAATCTGATTATGCATTTTCTACCCTAGAAATAATATGGGAACTCAAACCAAAAAAAGACTGCTAAAATATTATGTTAATTCACATGGGATTTGGTGATTAATTCACATGAGATTTACTCAATATTGAGTAAATCTCAAAATATGTCTTAAAATTGTCAGAAATGTAGACTTCCCGAAAGTATAAAGCACAATATAAAATTAGTTCTGCTACATCCCTATCATTATTTAGCTATATAACCTATTGCACACTTCACCTGTCCTTGAGCTCCAATAAACTCAAGTCTGCAGATTTACTTCACAGCTTATCTGACCTATACACTGGTTTAAGGTGAAGGTCAAAGTAGAAAAAGCATTTAGAATTTTGTTAAGTCTTATATGAATGACATACTCTCAGAGCAAAGACAGATTTTTTTTTTTTTTTTGTCAGACGTCGGGCTTGGACTTGGCCTGGGCACTGTCCCTGAGCTCTTCAGCTTAAGGCTAGTGCTCTATCACTTGAGTCACAGCTCCACTTCGGCTTTTTCTGTATATGTGGTGCTGAGGAATTGAACCCAGGGCTTAATGTATGCAAGGCAAGCACTGGTACTACCACTAAGCAACCTCCCCAGCCTGCAATGAGAGATTTTTAAAAATCCGGTTAAGAAAAGTAATTTCAACAGAGATGTAAGAATAGGCTATAGAACAGAGAATTCCATGAAGTCTTATAGTAGTAACTAAGCCTGGAAATGGCTAACAGACCCCCAAACAAGACAGTATACAAGACTTGGGAGTTGGGCCTCCTACTTAGGGACCAAACATCACTGTGCATTTGCTTTTAGGAATTCATTTGTGGGAATAAAAAGTCAAAGATTTATGAGGCAAATGAAGCTACTTTCACAAAATTTAAGGTCAAGTAACAGATGATGACAAAATTCTAACATAGCATGTAACTCTACTTATTAAGAAAATTAATGACATCATAGCTAATTGATGTTCTACAGGTTTTGAACCCAAGCCTCATAATTGTTTGGCTGGGGCTTTACCACTTTATCCACAGCTCCAGTCCATTTTTTACTGGTTATTTTTGGAGCTTGAGTCATGTGGACTTTTCTGCCCAAGCTGTCTTTGAACCACCATCCTCTAGATTTCATTTTCCTAACTATGATTACAGATACACTGTTATATTCTTATCTAAGACTACATAATACAAAATAGCATTCAAAGAATCCAAGTTTTATAACATTTCTAAGCCCAAACATAATTATTTGGAAAATTCTTCCAACTATCTTAATATCTGAGAAAAAAATGTAAATTCCTGAAAAGAGATAATCTACTTATATTTTAAGACAATGCTCAGATTCTAAGTCCTATCTTACCAAAACACAGAAGTGACTGTAGAGGAAACTAAATTATGTCATACAAATAATTTATTATCACTGCATTACACAAATGTGTTTTCTACTAATGAGTCTATGTAAATTTTAAGGTATTTCATAACTATTACTAGTAACTTCTATTAAAAGATCATTAAGTGGCTTAAAAAATCTTTAATTTAGAATAAGATTTAGAAAGAAAAAAGGTATTAATTTGTATTTACATCATCAAATTTTAGGTATATATTTATTTTATAAAGCATACACAGAGTTGGCTATTTGAATATATATGTACATTTAATACATGTAGATTAAAATTTTGTTGTATTAACAATGTGCATAGCACGTGTTAAACATTTGATGCGTGCGCCTCTTTATACATTTGTAGATAATAATAAGGCTCTGAAACAACTTCAAGATCTCTGCTAAACTAGTGACTTTATAATTTGGTCTTGAGTTCCTAATGATGTTATTCAGGTTCTAACTCACAGTTACTAAGAAATACAAAAAAAGAAAAAGTTGGTGCTTTTACATTGCTAGTAGTGAGCTATGGGCTGTGATAGCTTAGTTACCACAAGGGCAGAAAGTGACTAACAAACAAATCAACTGAAAAAAAAATCAACTAGAAAAAGTAGTTTTCTTGATAAAAAAAACTCTAACAATTCTTAGTTTTTCAACTTATCATACATCCAAAAGAAATCTGCTTATTATCTACTCCTTCACTCTCATTAGCATAATAAAGATCTAATGACCTCAAAGCTTACTCTTTGCATTCCTTAGTATACTCTATTTAGAACATCTGCTTTCAGAAATACAATATTGCTTACTGCATAAATCTTCCTAGAAGATACATATAATTTCTTTCCCCCAATACAGCAAGATCTTGATTATTTGATTATATATACAGATGTAAGAAATCAATGAAAATCTAAATTTCTAATACTATTTCCCTTACCCCCAATACTTCTGCTAACTTTCCCCTCTTTTTGAAAAAGCATACTAATAAAAAAAAATCAAGTATTTTCTTTAGGAGAGGTGTAGAGAGTAATCCAAATAGGCAAATTGCTCATAACTAATATGGGAAAATTTTTAATGTCAACTATTGATAATTAATAAGGGCACAGTTTATACACTTAAAATAGAAGCATTCAAACTGGCATTCTAACTTCAGACACCTATAAGCTAGAGATGGGATTTTGATATGTTGTTCTAGCTGGCCTTGTACTGATAAGCTCAAGTAATCTTTCAATATATCCTCCTACAATTATTCCTGAAGAGTTCCTTGATACTAAACGTGTACACAACAGATACCATTGTTACAGAATCTAACTTCAACTTATTTGATAGAAATAGGATCCTCCTTTCAATTATGTTCATATGTCATTTTTATGCTTAATTTAAAAAAAACTGTAACTTCATGAGATATTGAATTAACAAAAGTTCAGAGTCAGGACTTCACAAAAAAAAACCCACAAAAAACCCTTCATTAATTTTATTTCGTATGTTCAATTTCCCTTGAGATTAAAAGCAGTATTTTAAGTTTAAGGTAGAATTGTAAGACCATACTTGCTGCTATCTGTTTGGCTCTTACTTATTTAGAACTATTTCTTTCAAAAGGATGCTAGTCTATAATTATTGTAGCATCACAGATTCCTATTATCAGGTTCTGTATTTCCTAAAAAATTACATGGACTGATTTTAATATGTATTTGTGTATCATCAAAATTCAGGAAATACTGTCTTGGAGACCCAATTTTTTCTTAATATAGCTTCTGTCAACTGTGACTGGTTAGGCTTCCTACAGTAACATGAAACAAACTTTATTTACTATGCATACTATCCTTCAAATAGATGAAAATATATCAGTTATGCCTTCCTTTCTTTTATATTCACAAGTTCCATGTGTCCACTGGACATAAGTTTTGACAAGTCATTTTGTCACTGTTCACCAGCTAACATTTACTTTCAGGAAGAATATAACTGTACAACGATAAATTCACTCATTCCTCACAGCCCTTGCTTCCAATATGATTACCAGCCTGTGCCATCATATCCAAAATAATAATTTCTTAAAATGTAACAACCCTTTCTTCCTTTTTATTTACTTTTCTTCTGCCCACTCATCTCTGACTAAAAAATACTTTTGAGTCACTAAGTATTGTGACTCTGTAAATATGTTAATATTTGTCTAATAGAAAACAGCTTTAATGAAATTTTCTTTCCCTAAGTGAAATTTACTGTCTAATTTCCCAGCTTGAAAAACACTTAGTGTGATTAGTACACTGACAGCTTATACCAAGTAACAAATTATACATACTTTGCAAACTTTATCTCCATTCTTAAAACGTGAGATCCTATTTCCATTTTATAGATAAGAAAATTTAGTGTGTAGTTACTTGTTCAATGGAAAACCAAGTCAATCAAGGAAAGCTTCTAAAATCTGTATTCAATTAAATCATAACCTTTCAGTGATTACACTAGTACATGCTTCAATTTTTAACTCTGCTATCTGTAAATAGCTACCGTTTTCATTTTTATCTTTCACTGGTTTATTTTGAAATGAGGTTTTGGTATGTTGCCCTAGAAGGTCTTGTACCAATAGGCTCAGCTGACTATAGTGTTATACTTTTAAAATGATTAACTTTTGTCTATGGGGGAGGTTCAGGAAACACGTTAAGACAATCACCTATAAAAACAATTAAAAATATAAAAATATTTAAATAAAACTTACCATTTAACATTAACAGATTGTCAGTTCCTGGATGTGGATAGCTCAATCGACCTTTAAAAATAGAGAAAGAGGAATTTGAAGAAAAAAAAATACAGAAAGAGGAATCTGAAGATCACATGACTACTTGATTATTTTTGTTTTGTTTTGTTTTGTTTTTTTGGTCGGTTGTGGGGCCTGAACTCTGGGTTTGGGCGCTGTCCCTCAGCTCTTCAGCTCAAGGTGAGTGCTCTACCACTAGAGCCACAGGCCACTTCCAGCTTTTTTGGTTTGTTTATGTGGTGCCTCATGCATGTGAAGCAAGCACTCTACCACTGGGCAACCTTCCCAGCCCTATTTCAAAAGCAAAGGGGGAAAGAATGCAGAAGAATAAAATAAAATTGGGCACTGTATATTTCTTAAGATTTAAAAAGCTAAACTTCAACTCAAGAACTACCTTACCTTTGAAAATTGAAAATAGAATGAAAAGTCTTATTGCCTAGATCAAAAGATCACATGATTGGAAAGCAACAATACAGTACTGTCAACTTGTTCTTTTGAAATGAAAAAACAATGTAGGCATCAGTACTCTAGTCCTCCAAACTCAATATAGGATATTGAATTTTCAAATTCTTTGGATTTTCTCTACAGATGTCTTTTGCAAAAAACAAAACATACTAACAAAAACCCAAACAAAACTTTGTAAGAATTTGCATTTCTAAATTAAAATCAACAAAAATTTTAGAACAAAAACTCAACATGGATTTTTAATAAGTCAAATTTAAATAAATAAGTTTAATGAGCCAGGCGCCGGTGGCTCACATCTATAATCCTAGCTACTCAGGCTGAGATCTGAGGATCACGGTCAAAGCCAGCCTGGGCAAGAAAGTGCATTAGACTTTTATCTCCAATAAACCACTAGAAAACCAGAAGTGGTGCTGTGGCTCAAGCGGTAGTGCGCTCGCTTTTAGCTGAAGAGTGCAAGGACAGCGCCTAAGCCCAGAGAGTTCAAGCCCCATGACCGACCAAAAAAAAAAAGAAAGAATTTTAATGAAAATATTTAAGCATATTGTTATGGCAGTTATTGAAAATTTAACTTGTTTATAGCATTTGTAACTTGTTTAAAAATAAGAAATAAGAATTGAAAATACCAAAAGCTTAGGAACAGTATATCCAAGTATTTTTTTGACTCAGTTTTCATTTTATATTTACAAATCATTATGATTTACATATCATTTTGTATTTACAAAATGCAAAGGGACCACAGTATTGTATAATATTATATAATGATATGCACAGAACACAGTGTGTTTTTTTTTACCTAATGTTTTTATATCACTGAACTGAATGCCAATAACAAGGAGGATCATTATTTTGAGCCATTGAAAGATAGGATTTTTCTCTGATCCTGAATCTCTGGGAGATTATATTAGAAAGCAACTTTCGGCATAAGCTACACAATACAGTAACAAGATACCATGAGGTAGCCTAAATGGTAAAGAGAAAACACCAAGGAGCAGTATCTGCTTTTACTACCTCAGCAAGTAATTTATAAAAGGTACAGGACAGAGTGTACTGGCTTCTCTTTTAGCTATGAAGTTAATTTGATCATCTACTAATACAAGAATGAGTGACATAATCTGATCTTTATCTTAAAAGCACATACAAATACACATATATACACATATGAAGGCGATATAGGTATTTACACACTTAGCCCGAGATCTAATTTAAATAGCTAAGACATATTTGGACTTCAGAGTTAATATAGTTAAAATAAGTTTTACTCTCCCCCCCAAGGACAATTAACCATATTTTATATATTCCTACATTTCATAAAACAAGAAACTAGTTACCTAAATGACCGCTTAAATAAAGCTCACAAACTCTAAAAACAATTAGAAGAATATGTAGAAGAGGAACAAGACACAAAGAGCCAGGAAACCACTTTCCTAATCTGAATTTCAGTTAAGATGGTTCATTACTTGGAAATTTCATAGTTTACTTGGGAAATATGACTATTTCTAAAGCATCTTATTTCAGATTATGAAAATTAGAGAACAATTTAAGGCCATCTAAAAAATACTATTGTTTCTGACTTGAGACAGAAACTAACAAATCCCTATGAAAGTGGCAATAAAACACATAAAACACATTGCAATTTAGTGTAACAGGTTATGTTACTGACAGTGCAGGATGCGAAGGGTACAAATATAAGGAAGATACAGTCTTTCTTAGGATGTGCTAGCACAGGCAGACAAACATACAACCTTAATGAAATCAAAGGGATTCAGGCAAGACTTCCTAGAAAAAATAAGCCAAGCCAAGCCTTTTTCCTGAGGCCTCCTTTCACTTGCTACATTATATCTATCTAGCAAGTTCACTGTTCATTTTATTTATCCCAAGATGCAGGTAACAACTAATCTTTTTGACATCTTGGCTCTGAATAGATTTAAAAGGAGTACCAAATATGTAAAATTCAAAATAAAAAAAGCCTCCAAGGTGAATTAAGTAAGCAAATTTAGACTCAAATTATCCAATTACTTTTCCTTTATTCAGTATTAGTATACTTTCTAAGTTAACTGTTGCTATTATTAAATTATTCTAAGAACTTGCCAACCTGCCAAGATCTGAATCTCAGCAGTTTGGCTTGAAGATATCTTAACATTGTACTCACACAATAACATAATGTAGGGAAGGTAGGGAGGCCCATAGGACAAGTTCACTTACCAATGAGTCAGAAAGTGATCACACAATACGTAACTTTTTATCTTGAATATGAAAAATCCCACAAGCTTCAAAACAAACTTTTCCCTGTTGTCTAGAAGGCTTGTGGTACCTACAACCATTTTCTTTCTAGTTACATGCTCGTGGTGCTGGATGTGTGGCACATCCACAGGCACAGAGAGAGCTGCCTAAGTAAAAACTGAATTTCTTCCCTCTATTGCAGCTGTGACTTAAGACCTTGCCAGTAAGTTGTAAAATACAATTAGTGTGTAATTCCTATAAGTATCCTTAAAAAGAGAGGGAATTTTCTTGGTTTTTGCTTTTTGGAATACAAATAGGATATCAATACTGAAAAAAGCCATCTTAGTCTAGGAGGCAAAAACTGGGTATTAAGGATAACAAAAGAAGAAAAAGGGAACTTAAATCATGCAGTGTTAAGTTTCTATGAGAGAGCCGTCTTTCTCAATTAATCTTCAGTGTTTGCTCTTAACCCAGAAGAACCTAAGCTGACAAATGAAGTCCGTTAGCAATGATTTTTTTTTTCTTCTGTGGCCCAGGTTGGTCTTGAACTGATGATCTTCCTGCTCATTCTCCTTGTTGATTACCAGCATGTCTCATCTTTTCACAATCATTTTAGTACAACTATGGATAATGAGTATGTAACCACTTCTCAAGTCCTTATTTTCTTAATTTTTTTTTTTTTGCCATCCTGGGGCTTGAACTCAGGGACTGGTCACTGTCCCTGAGCTTCTTTTTGCTCAAGGCTAGCTCTCTACCACTTGAGCCACAGTACCACTTCCAGCCTTTTCTGTTTATGTGGTGTTGAGGAATCGAACCCAGGGCTTCATGCATGCTAGGCAAGCACTCTACCACTAAGCCACTGGGAACAGTCTTTATTTTCTATTAAGAGAACATTTAATTTAAAATAATTTTGAAAAATGTGTGCCTTAAGGTGTCAGTGACAAACTAAGAAACTTATAGTAACTTAAATATTGCTTTATTCATCTAATATGATTTAAACTAGTAATTTGTATTCAAAAGCTATTGTTCATTATTAGCCACAGTAGATATATACTAAACAATTAAAAATATTAAGAGGCTAGTACCTGTAGTGGCTCATGTCTGTATTACTAGCTAGTTGGGAGGCTGAGATTATTGCAATTATACTATGAGGCCAGTCTGAGCAAAAAAAGTTCACAAAACTCCCTCTCAATAAAGAGGTAGACATGGGAGTGTGTGCCTGTTTATCCTAACTAAAGCCTAACGCAAGTAGCCCTTCCCTGGGTAGGACCTCAAAAATTTCCAGAAAAAAACAGGGCTGGAGATATGGCTCAGCAGTTAAGAGACTAGATCAAGGACTGGATTTCAAACTCTAGTACTACAAAAAATAAAAATAAACTTAAATCCTAAGAAATTTAACAACTAGATACAACTATACAGATTATTACTTAGGCCAAATTAATGTCCAGATTACATCTGGCTCCTTACATCATTATAACTGTGTTGGCTTTTGCTGCTCTTGAAATGTGACAGGCACTTGCCATTTCAGAATCTTTCTACTTCTGCTTAGAACCCATTTGCCTAGATACGGTTAAAGCTTGTTCTCTTTACTTCATTCAGATCTGAAATAGATGGCGTCACAAGTCATCCTGCCAAAATACCAGCTTGTCTTTCTTCCTTTCACTATCTCTGTAATAACCACCTTTTTATCACCTAACAGTTTCTTATTGCTACATTTTAGAAAATATAACACCTCCAAGTGCAGAGACTGACTCTTATTCTTAACTATATTTCTGAAATCAACAACAGAACCTGGCACATAATAGGTTTTCGAATATTGAAATGTTGAATTGGTAATAAGATTTTATTTCAGCTAATTTTCTAAATCCCTAAGTATTATAGGAGTAGGAGAAAAAAGAAAAAGTCCTTTTCATTTTTTTTCCAAAATTAAATTTTTCTCTCCTTTATAACTATTTTCACTAGTAAAAACAATTTCCTTTATTCTTGACTTCACTTACTACAATGTCAGTTACAGTTATAAGCATGGGCTGGAACTAGTAAAAGACTAGAAAATCACAGAAATCAATAATTTGTAAGTTTTAAATTGGGTGCTGCTCTTGAGTAGCCTCAGGAAAACCTCACATTGGCCTGCCTGCTGTGTCCTGTCTAGGACACGACTCATCCCTTTGTTTGACATATCCATACGCTGAACGTAATGGTGACAGAGTGCTCATATAAATAGCATTCAATCCTACCTAAGGAATCAGACATACACTGAGGTTCCTAAAGAGTGTAGCCTGTAGATGAGAAAAGTGAATTCCAAAGCTCTAATATGATTAATAATGAAA